TAAATAAACGTTGAAAAAAAAATTTTTTTTTTAAAAAATAAAAATTAATTTTAAAAAAAGAGCCCTCAGAAGAAACCTTTATTTTTTCAGAAGAAAAACAAAAGACTAATGATAAAAAAATTTCTTCTCGTGTTTGCACTGATTTCAAATTGCCCACTAGAAAATGAAATCAAAATGAAAACTGACAATTTGATTAGATTAGTCAATTAAATGACTTCTGCCATCTTGAATTTCAGTCACACAAGGCAGTTCCTATCTGGTACCGACTACCAGGTCATTACATTACAGAAAAATATAGTGAATTTAACTTTAAAGTCATTCACAAACATGTCTCAGTTTCAGAATTCTAATCATGGACAAATTTTCCATTTATTTATTGCACTTATCTCCCCTGAGGGTGATTCTTTAGTGGAATGCAATCTCTTCAATAGAAAGCATCCTGAAATTTACTCAGTATTTCCCCCTGGATTCTGTTTCACAACAGAGCTAATCTACTAGGAGCTAATCTACCAAAACCTGGATGAGCCTCAAAGACTGGAAAGAGGATGCACTCCAGGGGAAACATGAGGACGTCTTCCAGTTTTAGAGTAATCCCTGAGAGGGATTAATCCCTGAGATTAAACACAGCTTTACATATTACAAGATCTCAGTAAACGCGTAGAGAATACGCTTCTAGAGCCTCCAGAAATTAGGGAAGTCCAGCGAACCATATATAATGCCCTCACCTGGAGTTTTCCTCATCAAAGCCAGTGAAGAGAAGATGCCTATATGTTCAACTCCTCTGTGTCCATCCCTTTTTCCAAGCTGAGCCAGGAAATCCATCATTGTATGTAAGAAAAAGGGACTAATTGTCCATATTACAACCACTGCTGTGATATACTACAGGCTGCCTTTTACTCTGTAAATCTGATTAGTCATTTTTTCTCAGTAGTAGTACAGTGTGAACATTCCATATATGAATACGTGACATTTACATTCCTTGGGTAAAAACTAATGCACCCTCTGTGAAGCTTATCTGTAAAACAAAACGTTAAAGTAGATTATCTGGACCATTTTTCCCCACTATTATTTTTTTATTATTAAGGACCATCTTCTGAAAATAATCTCACTTTCCAAGAGTAATTAGGTGTTATATTCTTCTCTAACACAAACTGAGAAGACAGTGTATCAAGCGAGGGACATTTGGAAGGAGGCTATTTAATCAAACTATTATTCTTGAGGTGGCCATCCAAGAATGCTGAGTTGATTGGTTGGTTAGTTTCTTGTGTTAGAAAGGAGGTATGGAAAAGCTAGGATTGTAGCTCATATAATGATTTATAAATGCCAAAAACGTGAAAATGGCATTTTTTTAATGGTATAAAATGGTAAATACACCATTCTAATGCCCTACCTATTCCCAGCAAGTACTTTTGGAGGCTTTAGAAGGTAGAGTGATACAGAACTTTATGCAGTTTATTTCATCAGTGGTTAAAATAAAAATTGATTACCCTGGCTTTTCAATTACATTCCCAACCCTTTGATTATCCTATTATACTTACCAACACCTTCACCAAAGGCTACAGGAAAAATAATGTTTCTGCTAATAAATTTTACAGGGTACAGTTGCAGAAAAAAATGAAATTAAGTGTGAAGTTGTTGATTATAATGGAGAGTGTCCTGAAATGTTATTCACATTAAGAAGGCATGGCATGGCCCATTGTTTCAGAAAGAATATAGGAAGCACAGATCTCAGGATTCTGATTCCTAGTTTGAATCTGTCAATCTGGACTTAGTTCCTGACCTGTACCAGGAAATTGATTTATTTATGCTTCATAAATAACAGTCTGGGAATTGTCCATTGAGTACCTTATCCAGTGAAGGTGGTTAACAAATGTATTTCAAGTTCAACATTGATTAGAAAACTGTCCAACTTTAGAACTTGGGTGCACAAGCCTCCTTTTTGTGCTTCCTTAAAAACCACCAACAGAGGACTAGTGATACTAAAGTCCAGATCTTCTCTGTTCTTATTTGCTTTTCAAATTTCTTTATCTTCCATTCCTGACAGTTATATCTAGTGACCTCCACTAGACAAGGCAAGTGGTTTGACAAGTTTAACAAGAAAATTCAATATTGAAACTACCGTTTTTAAGATTCTTACTCAGTGCTTTCTAATATTAATTAATTACAAGATTACTCTGTTGTTTAAACACAAAACTTGGTACCTTTTTGTTCAATTCTTAAATACTATTGAAAAGTACATGCCTATCCAAATATTTGAAATTGCCTTCTCCCTTTCAGAAAACATAATTAACTATACCAGATAAAATTGCAGATAAAAATGCCATTCAATCTAAGATCCCTTTGTTTTTATCATCCAAAATTATTTCTTAAATGAACTAAAACTTTGCACTGAAAACATAATTTTCTTTATTTTAACTAGGTAGGATCTGAATATGAAAACTAAGACAGTTCATTCTGTATAGTATGTGTAAAAACATGAAAATAAACACTTGCAAATAGAAATAATTCAAAATATTCTTACTTATTCTTTAGAGCAAAGATATTTGATATGGTTGGTCTTTTGTATTTTTTTTAGGTGTTTCACTGAACTGTTGTGATACTTTAAAAGAAAATCTTTATGGGCACCTGGGTGGCTCAGACAGTTGAGCATCTGACTTCAGTTCAGGTCATGATCTCATGGTTTGTAGGTTTGAGCCCCACATGCGGCTCACTGCTATCAGCGCACAGCCCACTTTGGATCCTCTGTCCCCCTCTCTCTTTGCCCCTGCCCTGCTTGCACTCTCTCTATATATATTCAAAAATAAATTTTAAAAACCATTTAAAAGAAAATCTTTAAAGGAAAATTTAAGAACAGCCGGAGAAAGGCCTTTGCCACCTGTGGTTCTCATTTAGTTGTGGTGTCTCTTTTTTATGGGACAGTCATGATAATGTATGTGAGTCCTACATATGGCATCCCAACTTTGATGCAGAAGATCCTGACAGTGGCATATTCAATCTTCAATTGAATCTTGACTAAGGTGATGTCTGTGACAATTAATTCACTTGATTAGACTATCCTGAAAATCCAATGTCCTGGAGTAAGTTTTATCTCCATGAGTAAGTCAACTAATTTTGTTCTTTTGCCAAGGTTTAACCCAATATCACACCAGCTGTCCTCAAAATCTTTTTTTAACAAGGTAAGCTGAGTAAGAGAAAATGGATGAGTTTGTTCATTGAAGATTCATAATCAGCTTTAGAAAAACAAACCAAAATCATAAAAGGTCTTCTTAGGGATCAAAGAAATCAAAAAAGAAAGAAAATTTTCACATTGTACCACTAATGTGGAAAATTCTTGCTGCACTGCATTCTAGCAAAAGAAAACTAAGATTTAGAACCACAATCAATTCAAAATAAGGTGAGATTTATTCCCATCTAGTCACAAAATATCTCATATTTTCCTGTAGAGCTTAAGTTCTCTTCTCAGTTAAGTTCTTGAGATATGTAGGAAGCAAAGAAACTTGTGTTACCCTCATGTTTTTCTTCTTCATAGGTTTAAGACCCATGAACAGGTCAGCAACACACATTCACCTTGTGACTGAGTTTATTCTCCTAGGGTTCCCTGGTTGCTGGGAGATACAGATTTCCTCTTCTCACTCTTTTTGGTGGCTTATGTCTTGACGCTGCTGGGGAATGGAACCATTATCTGCGCAATAAGATGGGACCCACGACTGCATACCCCAATGTACTTTCTGCTGGGAAATTTTGCCTTCCTTGAGATCTGGTATGCTTCATCCACAGTTCCTAACATGTTAGCCAACATTCTCTCCAAAACCAAGACCATTTCATTTTCTGCCTGCTTCCTCCAGTTCTACTTCTTCTTTTCCCTGGGCACAACTGAATGTCTCTTCCTGACAGTAATGGCTTATGATCGGTACCTGGCCATCTGCCACCCACTGCACTACCCCACCATCATGACTGGGAAACTCTGTAGAATTCTGGTGTCTCTCTGCTGGCTTACTGGATTCCTTGGCTACCCAATCCCCATTTTCTTCATCTCCCAACTCCCCTTCTGTGGATCCAATATCATTGATCATTTCCTGTGTGATATGGATCCACTGATGTCTCTGTCTTGTGCTCCAGCCCCCATTACTGAATTTGTTTTCTATACTCAGAGCTCCCTTGTTCTCTTTTTTACTATTATGTACATTCTTCGATCCTATACCTTGTTGCTCAGAGCTGTTTTTCAGGTCCCTTCTGCAGCTGGACGGAGAAAGGCTTTTGCCACCTGTGGTTCTCATTTAGTTGTGGTGTCTCTTTTTTATGGGACAGTCATGGTAATGTATGTGAGTCCTACATATGGCCTCCCAACTTTGATGCAGAAGATCCTGACAGTGGCATATTCAATAATGACTCCTCTCTTTAATCCCCTGATTTATAGTCTTCGTAATAAGGACATGAAAGTTGCCCTGAGAAACATCCTGTTTAGAATGAGAATTAGTCAAAATTCTTAAGCCAAAAATGTCCATACTTCCAAATTCCAGTAAAGAATAAGTTGGAGATGTGAAAGTTTTTTTTTTTAATAATCTTTTAGTTCTTACCCTCAGTAATTAAAAGCCTTTCTTTTTCTACTGGAAGTGTGCTCAGCTTACAAAGCTATGCTGACTACTAAAACCTAAATTCACTGTAATTCAATATGCAGTGAAATTTTTCTAAAGCCTATCATAATTGGAGTGATAAAATGGGATTAATTTCTGAGAGAAGTTAGACTTCCCTGAAAGATACACCTTCAGTTTTAGGACAAGTCTAATGACCTTTACCAAATTATTAAAGGTGCAGTGATTTTTTTCAGTTTTTTTAGGTATAATTGATATACAAAAAGACTGTACATGTTTAATGTACATTAAAGGTACAGTGGCTTTTAACTAGCCATGAGACCTTTCTATAATTTTTTTAATGTTTATTTATTTTTGAGAGAGAGAGACAGCATGGTCAGGGGAGGAGCAAAGAGAGAGGAAGACACAGAATCCGAAGTAGGTTCCAGACTCTGAGCTGTCTGCACAGAGTCTGACATGGGACTCTAACTCAGGAACCATGAGATCATAACCTGAGTTGAAGTTGGACGCCCAACTGAATGAGCCACCCAGGCTCCCCAAGACCTTTCTATAATTTTCAACAGACACTCATTTTTTATTCCTAGTCCAACAAGCTTATCTAAACACAGTTTCTCTATATTAAAAGAGAGGGGCAAAACTCTCTTGACCAATAGGAACTCTTCCAACAAATTTTCTTAGAGATATAGTTCCTTTGTGGTATGTTTGAAATAAAACTTAGATACAAGCTAAAATATAATTTGTTGAAGTTGCTTTTAACAGTTCTATTATTACATGTACCATGTTGTGGCATAATTTATTTACTTACGTGTACTCCTAAGAAAGCTCCTTGAGGACAGGAATTACCTTTTTCCTTTGTGGATCCCAACCACACAGTGACAGAGAGGAAAGCAGCCCCTGGAACCAGGGAACTGGCCTGGCAATTATCACTCACGGCTTAGTGCTGCCAGGAGCTGGCCTAGCACTATCAGCCAAGCCTGCTTTATAAACCTGTTGAAAACAGGGGCGCCTGGGTGGCGCAGTCGGTTAAGCGTCCGACTTCAGCCAGGTCACGATCTCGCGGTCCGTGAGTTCGAGCCCCGCGTCGGGCTCTGGGCTGATGGCTCAGAGCCTGGAGCCTGTTTCCGATTCTGTGTCTCCCTCTCTCTCTGCCCCTCCCCCGTTCATGCTCTGTCTCTCTCTGTCCCAAAAAAAATAAATAAAAACGTTGAAAAAAAAATTAAAAAAAAAAAAAAGAAAATAAACAACTCCACAGAATGCCACCTCGAACCAGGTCACTATGTGAACATGATAGATGAAGACAAAACAAGACCACTCCATAATTATGTCTGAGCACCGACAAAATCAAGAACACAGTCCCAACTATAAAAAATGACCAAACATCCCCCTCTTTAGGCTAATATGAGTGACTGCCACCTCTTTACCCAGTAAAGCTTCAGCCCAATTGCCTTCTAGATAAAAATTAACATACCTAATCACAGGGGCACCTGGTTGGCTCAGTCAGTTAAGCGTCTGACTTCAGCTCATGTCATGATCTTGCAGTCCATGAGTTTGAGCACCACATTGGGTTCCGTGCTGATAGTTCAGAGCCTGGAGCCTGCTTCAGATTCTGTGTCTCCCTCTCTCTCTCTGACCCTCCCACATTCATACTCTCTCTCTCTCCCTCTCTCTCTCTCTCTCAAAGATTTAAACTTTTTAAAAATTTAATTTAAAAACAAAGATACCTAATCATAGAATTTTCTTCCACTTCCTGACAGCATCCAGAGAAAACCTCTATTTCTTTACATTCTCCCCAAAGTCAATTAACACAAACCCAAATCATATAATAAATCCCTTCTAGCATCTTCCTATTGGATTCCCCATGTTCCTCAAGGCATATTTCCTCCCTTGCTGCAAAAAGCTAATAAACTTATTTTTCTTCGACTACAGTATGTTCTTGATGGTCTTTGCATGACCATGAATCAACAACACTTTGATACCTAGTTAGAACTCAAAATGCTTGTTGAGTACTTTTATCTCAATAATTTTACTTATGAAAATAATATGCAGTTGTAACAAAGTCAATCAGTGAAGAAGTGTATAAAGATGATGTATTTCCCGCCTGCATTCTCATCCTCACCAATCTGTCACTCTCCTCTTCAAAGTCAACATTCCTCAGTTCTCTGTCTGGGCTTCAACACACTTCATAGTATGGCTCCACTAATCCTGCTTTGTTTTCCTTCTCTTCCCAAATGAACCCTCAGCTCTAGTCGGGCTACTCAACCACTCCATTCTCTACCCTCTCCACACTGTTGCTTAGGTTACTCTTTAAACCTGGAAAGCCTCACTTTCCCTTCTGCTATGCAACTGGACACTTAGATTCTTAGGGTCTTATTTTGTAAAATAGGTATGTAACTTATATCTTGAAAACAAGGTCATAAGGATTAAATGAGACAATTTATGTAAGGACCATAGCATAATAAAAGACACATAATAGATTCTCAGTACATGTTTGTTCCCCTTTCCTTCCTATCTTTCCAATCTGACCATGGATAATTTGCTGGTTATTCCATCAGACTGTCACTATGCTCATGAAAACCTTTGTTTCCAAATAATACATATACATATTAATTTGTAACTAATGCATTAAAGTGCAAACTCTAGATTCAGACATTTATATACTGCCTTGTCTGCTAGCTATGACTTTGGGCAAGTGGCTTGAATGCCACAACTTCAGCTACTTCACTTGTAAAATACGATAGTAATAACAGCTATCTCAAAGGGGTATTATGAGTCAATACTTTATTTAAAAACTAATTCAATACTTTTTTAAGCACTTTGCATTGTGCCTGGTAAACAGTATCACTCAATAAATATTTTTAACTCAATAAGATGTAATAGTATCTTTTTAAAATTTTTTTTAGTTTATTGATTTATTTTGAAAGGGGGGAGGGGCAGTGAAAGAGGGAGAGAGAGTCCCAACCAGGCTCCGGACTGTCAGTGCAGACCCAACACAGGGCTTGAATTCACAAACCATGAGATCATGACCTGAGCCGACATCAAGAGTTGGACCCTTAACTGACTGAGCCACCCAGGTGCTTCTAAAATATAATAGTATATTTTAAAGCCAGTACATATAATTTAACCTCATTCTATTTAAGACACAGTGTGTTCCACCAAACAAACATATCACAATTTGCTTATCAATTACTCACTTAAGACACTTTATTGCATCCAATATTTTATATTTAAACAATGCTGTGACTTATGTCCTTGAATATATGTCTTTATATATTCACATCAGTATTCCAGAAACTAGAGATAGGATTCCTGGAATACAGGAAATGTATATTTTTAATTTTGAGAAATGCTTCTAAATAAGGTATCTGCAAATAGTGTATGGCTCTTCAACAAATGGTGCTGGGACAACTAGATATCCACATGCAAAGAATTAAGTTGAACCCACATGCAAAAAATTAATTCAAAATGAATCAAAGACCTAAATGTAAGAGCTAAACCTATGAAACTCCTGGAAGAAAACATACATTTAAATCTTTGTGATCTTGGATTATGTGATTTTTAAGACATAATACCAAAAATACAAGCAATAAAAGAAAAAATAAATTAGACTTCATCAAAATTTTAAGATTTTTGTGCTTTGAACGATGCTATCAAAGTAAAAGTTCACAAAATGGGGAAAAAATATTTGTAGATCATGTATCTGGTAAGAGTCTATTATCCAGAATATATCAAGAACTCTTACAACTCAACATTAAAAACACAAATGGGGGCTTGGAGAGGGAAGATGGCGGCGTAGGAGGACGCTGGGCTCACCGCGCGTCCTGCTGATCACTTAGATTCCACCTACGCCTGCCTAAATAACCCAGAAAACCGCCAGAGGATTAGCAGAACGGAGTCGCCGGAGCCAAGCACAGACCAGAGGCCCACGGAAGAGGGTAGGAAGGGCTTCGAGGCGGT